TGCTTCTGTGGGCAGTTCACCCTGACACACTCTTGCCTGAGAACCCTGAGACTAAAGCCATACACCTGTGACATGGCTGGGTAAGCGCTAGGGTTTAGGTCCACAGGTGCACAACAGAAGGAAGCCAAGTGGCCCCTATGATGGCCGGCAGTAAAGACCTGGGAGGACTAACCCACCACCTAGTTAGTGCTAAACTCATAATTTTTATGAAACCAAAACAGCTGCCTAGTCCAGAAAAATGTCATCTCATTCCCTCCCCCAAAAGTCCCTTTTCTTATCACCTCTGTTTTTTAAAAGTATGAAAGGCTCGGTCACTGGAGAAGTTGGCACGATTGTCAGTCTCTGGCTGAAAGGAGACAGCCTGAGCAGAGGGTGGCATCACCAGAGAGACCTAAAATACAGCAGGAACATTAGGAACTGCAGGGTCATGCTGAGAAAACTTCTCCCTCTTATTCTCGCCCAAAGTTAGCTCACATTACACTTAAGTGTCGTCAGCAGGGTTGCAGGACTTTATGTAAGCTAAGCAAGGATCAGGTCCAGGCCAGTGGGCATCTAAGCTGGAGTTACTACCTTGGCAACACTGCCCTCATAGGCAGCTCGAAGGCGGCCTTGCAGAGCTGGTGAGAAGCACAACAGCCGCTCATTCTCAGCCAGCAGCTTCAATGTCCCTTTGTCCAGATTGGAAAGAACCCTGCAGGGACAAGAGCACCTATGACTGAGACGGGAACACAGACTGCAAGTAGCAAGCAAGCACCTGCACACCACACAGAGCATCTCTAAAGCATGGTGCAGGTATGCAAGCCCAGTTAAGTACTGCAAGATCACAGGCCAAGGATCAAAGATAATGAAAGTAAAGGGGAGGATATGAGGCTACAGAACAGGGACCAAGACAACAGGACAGGAACATTACTAGAAACCCAAAAAGCTCAGCTGCCAACACCAAAGGGGTCCATATATATATATTTTTTTGAGATGGGGCCTCTGTCACCCAGGCTGGGCTGCAGTGGCATGATCTCACTACAGCCTGGACCTCCTAGGCTCAGGTGATCCTCCCACCTCAGCCTCTTGAGTAGCTGGGATTCTAGGCGCACTCCACCACACCTGGTTTTTTTTTTTTTTTTTTTTGGGTAGAGATAGGATTTTGTCATGTTGCCCAGGCTCGTCTCAAACTCCTTGGCTTAAGCCACCATCCTGCCTCAGCCTCCCAAAGTGGTGGGAATGCAGGCCTGATCCACCACACCTGGCCCTGTTTTATTCTTTTAGGGACTGCATTCATAGCCTTAACACAAAGTTAAAGGTTACAGGTCGGAGTAGGTCCAGGGCCACTGTCCTGTGTTAAGCATGACCATACATCCCAGGCAGCCAGAGAACTAAGCAGATGATGAGAATGAGGCCCAAATGCCTTAGCCAGGGAAACTCACTGAAAGTGACACTCCAAAACCTGCACTGCAAAGAAGACACAATCATGGATGCTTTGGAACAGCGGACTTTCCAGGGAATCTAGAAGGACAGTACCAAGCTGTCAGTTAAAAAGGGTCCCATTTCTAGACCCCCCCCTCAAAAGTCGCTCACTAACCTAGGGCACCAGGACTTAGTTCAAAGTCATTGTCCTTGGCAGTCACCATCCTCCGGGCAGTGAGGAGCTGAAAGACGAAGAAAAGCTCCAAGAAGAGGTTTGGTACGAGGTTCTCTAGATAGATACAAAAAGAAATCCCATGGTATGGGGCACCATTCACAGCCAAGGCTCAGTTCCACGTGCCTTATCAATTCTCTTACCCAGCAATTCTACAAGTATCTCCACTCCATCTCCCTATGCTCTCACTCACCCGCAATGCACGAGGAGTAAACAAGGGCTACCAGCTCCAGGCGCTGGCGGGAAGACACTCTGGCAGGGTCCGCAAGTTCATCTGTGAGGCCTCCTGTCCAGTTGAGGAGGGGCGACCCCAATTCTGGGGTAGGACAGGTTGGGGTAGGTGACTGCTGCAGCTGCTTAGAGCTATAAGGATAAAGAAATTTCATCAGCAGTCAGCTTGGCTTCCCTGCCGCAGCCACACTCAGGTCCCTCCAGAGAAGATACCAACAGCCCAAGAGACAAACCCAGAGTCCCCAAGAGGGAAATCATTTTCAGGGAAAAGCCCTGAAGATCCCCACATGGAGGAAACCGACATCCCCAGGAGCGGCCAGGCCATACCGCTCCTTCCTGAGCATCTCCCGCTCCTCTTGCAGACTTCTGCACCCTGGGGGAAGGCCAAGGCCCCAAGGGCGAGTGTCCAGGGCTGAGGGTTGGGAACTGGGGACACAGCTGATTGGGGGTGAGGTGAAGCAGGTCTTGGGCTTGGAGAGTGACCGCTCTTCGCTCACCGGAGTTGGGTTGATCCTGCGAGAAGGCTTCGTCCTGCTGAGTAGCCACAGGTTTTTCTCAAATTCCTATCTTCAAACATCTCCCCTCCACCACCGCAACAGCTAGATCTCTTGCAAAAAAAAAAAAAAAAAACCCCACAAAAACCCTCACCATCACCCCCAACCTTCTAACCATCCTCGCGCTATACACTGCGGAGCGCCGAGCCCTGAATGACTGACTCCCCAGAGCCTTCGTATGAGAGCTGTATGAGAGCTGAGTCTCACCCTGTAGGGCCAGGGGGAACGGAGCCTACTGGAGGGAACTCCTCCAGGTTGCTGAGGTTTGGTGGATCAGAGAGCGTGAGGCTGGGGCGGCTGGGGCTGCCAGAGCCTCTAAGCCTCCGGCTCCCGGCTCCGGGCAGGCTCTCCACGCTGACCCCCTCCTCCAGGCTGCGGCCTCCACGCTCCCGGGCCGGCCCCGGGACCCGCCTCCTGCCCCCGCGGCGGGCCACAGGGGACTCGGCGGCGGTGCTCAAGGCCTCGGTCGGAGGGAAAAGCTGGCTGCGCGCCCCGCGGCTGCCCCGCGGCGGGCCTCCCGGCCTCCCTGGCAAGGCTGCCGAGGCGCCCGAGGCCTTGGCGGGGGTCGGAGGCCCCTGCGGGAGGACGCGGCTGCTCTGCTCCCTCAGGAAATTCAACAGGAACGGTACGAATTCTTTCCGCAGGGGCCGGAGTGAGCTCAGTGCGGCCGCCTCCCCGGGGTTATCCTAGGGCAGAAGCACAGGTCAAGGGGCGAGAGGGTCAGCCGCCGGCCAGGGGCCGTCAGCTGCCTGGGTCGCTGGGCGCGCCTCCGGTGGGCGGCCCAGGCAGCGGCGCCCAGTTGGAGTGCACTGGCCCGGCTGGTAGTCAGGCGTCCTAGAGGAAGGGAACTGGAGGGCTGGACTCCACCGCGGGAACCGGCTTCGGGTCAGGCTTGGGGGCGTGTCAGCGCTGTTACCTTCGAACCCTGGGTGCTGCGTGCGATCCACCGCACGACGGCTGCGACCGACACCTCTTCTCGCAGCAGCGACTCCAAAACCGCCGCCATCCCGGTCTGGGCGCTGTAGGGCGACTGCGCAGGCGCAGGCGCGCCAAGGGCGGCCAGGGATGGGCGGGGCCAGCGGCGGGGAACGACAGTTGGTTTCGCGGGGCAGGGAGGGGCAGGGCCAGCGGGGCGGGACGGAGCCGGCTATTGCCCAGCTCCGGTCAAGGCCTCGTTGGGTCCTCAGCCCCCGCCAACAGGCCGATTGTTGGGAGGTGAAGTGCAGCTCACAACCGGTGGTGAGGCCCGCCTTGGCTCCCTGTTCTGGCCCGATGAGCGATCTGAGGAAGGGATTCGAGCTGGGAGTGGGATTGCCGCGGAACAGACGCCCCTCTGAGGAGACGCAGAATCCGGGAGAGAGATAGGTGGAGGAGAACAGAGCCAGCCACCAGCCTATCTTCTGCTCTAAGCACATTCTTCCAAGAGTTTAAGTTTTCCAGGTCCAACTGGCACCACCCCAGAGAAATTATAAAGTTAATCTAATCTTTCATTTTGACGTTTTTCTCAAAAGCCAATTTTAAAATCCCTTGGCCGAGCAGTACTCATCGGCTTTTCAGCGCTCACCATCAGCTAATTGACCATTGAAGACAATTAATTACTTCTAGGAGGTTTTTAATAATCCCCAGGCCACAACCCTTAAAGTGCCTCCAGCCACCGTGCACACATAATTGCTTGTTTGTAGCTTTATTTACTTAAATGGATTTATATGAGGTTAATATTTCAACTACTTTGCAGTTTAGATGTCAGTAAGCATATGATTAGCTTCTGGGAGCTCAAGGTTTTGTTTTGCTTTTTTTTTTTTTTTTTTGAGACAGGGTCTTGCTCTGTTGCCCAGGCTGGAATGCAATGGCGTCAGCGAGGCTCACTGCAGCCTCCGCCTCCTGGGCTCAAGCCATCCTCCTGCCTCAGCCCCCGTAGGGGGCTATTTCCAGCTAATGTTTTGGCGGGGAGCGGGCGGCAGATCCAAAGTACTGGGATTACAGGCATAAGCCACCATGCCCAGCCTGAGTAATTCCTTAATCTCCTTTATTTAAAGAAACACGAGAGAGCATTTTAGATGTTGCTGCTCAGTGAGAAATCAAGTAAGGGAATCCAGGCAGACAAAAACAGATGGCACTATCATTCCAGGTGAAACCAAACCAAGGGCGGTGAGGCAGTGCCCTTGTGAATGCCTCCTGAGAGTTCCTCTGATTCAAAGGAAGGTTACAGGCAAAAAGATGAGGGTGGGGTGCAGGAATTTCTCTAGTGGTAGAAGGGTTGTTTCCTACGGAGAAGGAAAAAGTACCTCCAGCCAGAATAATGGACTAAAAGGGGGCTTTTTAGTATTTTAATTTTATTACAGGGAAACATCTCCTAATATCCTCAAACCCCGGTTTTCACCTGCAGGGACAATGAACACTTAGTTTCTATTCAGTACTGGGCTGCTTTTTTTTGGGAACCTCTGGATGTGGTACTGCATTTACAGTAACACTGTCTGCTCCCAGTTGATCTTGTAACCTCTGGTGTATTCAATAACTTTATTAAATTAGAAAAATAATAGTTCCACTTTTGAAATCCAAACCATCACACACGTAGAACTAGATTTTGCATGCGGAATGAATATTTTATTACTAGGTTATAAAAATAAAATACAAAATAATTTTAAAACAGAACTTAAAACACTGTACAAAGCTTTAATATGATACAAATGGGAAAATTAAATAAATAATTACACTTTTATGTACAGGTGGCCTATACAAAAGCACTCCATGTTTCTGCCAATACTCTATGTCCTTGGTTGCCTGAGCAAAATTGTATAAAGGAGCTGCTCGTAGGGGAAAGGGACACAATAAAACACCTCTGGAGTTATTTCAAAGAGTAGTTTCTCATCTCTCTGATTTCAGAAAGAGGAGAAGAGAGGGAGAGAAAAGTAGAATTATTAAAGTTATCTATTCTAACTCAGTGGTCTTGTTCAACAAGAAAGAATTGTGGTTTGCGGCTGAATCTGATTTAACAGCTGCCAATATCTCATTATTTTCAAGATGTTTATCTAATTCAAAACTAACTGCTCCCCACTCCCTCTTTTTCTCCTAAAAGCTGGGAACTTGTAAGTAAATAGCCCAGTGAAATAGACACTGGCTATTTAAGAAAAAGGGTCAGAAGGGGGACAAGGAACTACGTATCAGGGAGAAGTAAGCGGGGCTCAAGCCCAGTTCGTCTAGGCTTCATTTATTCAGTCTACCCAATCTAATTTCAAAGCCCCAAGTGGGCCAGTGTTATATTTCCTTTATCTTCCTTTTTTTTTTTTTTTAATTTGAGACAGCGTCTCACTCTGTCACCAGGTGCCAGGCTGGAGTGCAGTGGTGCAATCTCGGCTCACTGCAATGTCTGCCTCTTGGGTTCAAGCATTTCTCCTGCCTCAGCCTCCCAAGTAGCTGGGACTACAGGTGCGCACCACCATGCCCAGCTAATTTTTGTATTTTTAGTAGAGACGGGGGTTTCACCATGTTGGTCAGGATGGTCTCAATCTCTTGACCTCATGATCCGCCCACCTCGGCCTCCCAAAGTGCTGGGATAACAGGCATTATCTTTGTATTTTTGAAAGCTTTTCACCTTAGTGGACTACTTTATCTGGTGAATAGAGCAAAGAGATTGTTTTGGAAAAAGTCCCAAGGGCTTTCTCCTCCCTGGGTAGCTCCCTAAAATAAGTCAAATTCAAGTTCTAGTAGCCTTATTTAGTCCTTGTAGGTGAGTGAGGAATACCCACAGAGTCCAGCTGTGGTGAAATGCTGGGCATGAATTTCTCAGGATTTAAACTGCATATTATAAGAGAATAAGAGCATCATATGGCAAGCGTAGTTTATATAAAAACTTGGTTTGTTTACTCAATGTTTTTAATTAGGTGAGTGAACACTTAAGTACATAATATGAAATATTACACTACTAAAAAGAGAGGTAAAATTCCTATCCATTGTTACTGTAAAATTATCTCATCAGCAAATTCTGTAGTCACATGGGCTCAAAGATATGTCTCATCCAAATTTGTTCCCTAGGTCAAGGAACCCAGAGCCAGGGTACCTGGGAGACATGGTCAGCATCACCAGTGGACAGACACTCTGCGCCCATGCTATCACTAACACTTCCAGCCAAAAAGGAGGGAGAAACTGTTAAGTTGCACAGGGCTATGAGAGGAAAGTCTTCACTACTTTTACCTATTAAGACCAAAGATCCAGCAAAATCAGAAAATATGCAAATCATTACTGCTTTTTTTTTTTCTATTCAATGTCTTGAGATTGTATGGAAATTCAAGGTGACCTGATCTTGTCACATACTTTAATTTTCTGATCCAAATTTGCTGAAAGGGAATAAACATCAAGCTTACATATATTTTTAAGAAGGAGCAGATAATCACAACTGACTTAGAAGACGTCTTAATGGGCATGCACTTTATTTTTGTTTTACTTTTTAAAATTTCTGTGAGCTGTTCTAGCAAACTAAAGGGCCAAAACTTTACTGTCATAATTCCATTTCAGATTTTTCAGAGTGAGGTGTGCAGCGTCCAGATTCCCCTTTATGTGGATAGGGATCCTTGTCCCATGTCTTGAACATACCTAAGAACTATAGGAATTCCCCATGTGCCTCCTACAGTTGTTCTGGTAGTGTTGGGCAATGGATTCTGAAGGTTTCTCGAACTTTGCTAAATTCCTCTTAATTCCATAGGGAAGGCCAAAATACTGAGAATATACTCAATGATATGATGAGTTTCCACTCTACTTACTTATCCTCAAGACACACACCAGAGTTCTCCTGGGTGAAGACAGGGAAGTACGATGTCCCGACACACCCTCTTAGGGTTTTCATGCATTAATCCCCCCATATGAGCTGATGCTTGGAACTGCCTTTAGTTCTCTAAGGTCTAAAAATGCACCTGTGGTTTCTGAACTTGGTTATATACTGATACATAAGGACTACCATAGAAGTTACATGCCTTAATCCTGTAATACTTTCATGTGGTATCATCGAGAAGTAGTTATTCTGCTAATATATTGTCTATAGAACGAAACCCCAAGTTATACAGTGCAATAGTACTCGTCAAGCACTCCATCTCCTCAGTGACAAAGGTGCTAAAGTACCTCTCCCCTTAGGCAAAGTCTCGACACATCTGTGGCAAGTGCACATAAACAGAAATGGGCAGATTTTGAAAGTGAATGTAAACAACTTAATTCCAAAATACTAAACATGACAGAAAAAATGGTTCTCTAATGCAGGCCGTATTTTTATCAATATAAAGGAATGAAAGAAGTTTTTAAAATACAAAAAACTTTGATCTTCAAGACTAAATCTAGACTTACCTACAAATAAATAAATGTTCCAACAACCAGGGGGAAATGCGTTTTTTTCCTAAGTCTCACTAAATCATTCTGCATTCTGGATCCAGCTTCTCCTATCACCAATTCCTAATGTTATGTTAGGAATGTAGAATTGTCTGCTCTTGGGGAAAAAAAGCATCTGTTTTTAATTCAAAGCTTTTGAGTATAGAAAAACTATGGTTTTAGCTAGCTGTGTATCTGGGTTTATAAAACATGCACCAATGTACTCTTTTTCCTTATAGATTGAATGCAACTATGGAAATATTAGTATAAAATATGTGGCCTGGAAGGAAATCTCTGATGACATTGAAGAACCTCAAGTTCCCAACATGGCTAGGAGCTAAGAGAAGGAGATACTGCACATCTTGAAAGCTGAATTAGCAGCTGAGATTTTAGTATTTGAAAGCAAATAACATAAAGCGAGTAATGACTACAGTGGGTCTCAGATACCATTTTGCTACTTATTTAGTACTCAATTAACTTGGCAACTTTTACAAAAAACATTCACATCACAACATGCAACTTAAAAAACAGTAAATGTAACGATGCCATTGTCAGCAAGGCCAGCTTGCATACCAGAGTTAAGAATGGGAGTGCCTGTCTGCCTAGGGTTTAACATTCAAAGATATGTATAATCTGTGTTTTAAGGTTAAATTTTATATGACCCAGTTTTCCTTCTCTGTTCACTAGACACTAAAATTAAATGCCTCTATGCTGTGCAAGAAATCACTATGTATGATTTTACTGTTTCAACCAATCCACAGACCCTGGGGACTTGGTAGAGGAATTCAGGAGAAGTGCTACCTAAAATGATTGAGCTGTTGCTATTTCTACCTTCTGTTCCACTCAAGTACTTCCAGGGACTAGACAAGGGAGGGCGAGGGCAACTGTGACTGACTCTAGGTAACCAGCTATTCTGCTGTGACAGAAGAAACCAGGTAATACCTGATTTTCAAAAGGTAATTTTAACTCTGCCCTGTACTACTTTTAGTATAGTTTGGCTTGACCTTAATAGCCATATCCCTCATCTTAGGTAGAAAAACCAAATTGGTTTAAAATTACTTAATCTATGTCACTGAAACCTGAAATATGCCATCACTAAGAGAGCCCCCAAATAAAAAATAAAGAACTAAAAAACAAAACCAAATCAAATCGACCCCAAAACCCCATTCTCTGTATCATACTTTAAAACAAAAATAGAAATTCCTGTGTCACAAATGCTTGGCTCAGGGCTGTCAACTTCTGTTTTTTGCCTGAGAGACATCTAACATCTAAAAGCACAAACTATGCTGTAAAAACCAAAAAGTGAATCTCTACATAGGACAGTACTTATAAGCAGACCTATGATACCACCTATGATATAATTAGTCTGTTTTCTTTTGAAAGTATCAGAGCAGAAACATCTTTGGTTAACTCTTTCCTCTACATGCAGTATAAAATATTCTTACATGATGAGACTGTTTATCTCTGGATCCTGATGAGTTTGTCAATACCATTTAGAAAAGGGGGCAACACACTGGAGAGGTTGGGAAAAAAATGGAAGGAACCAAGAAAGAAAGAAAACATTCAGTTGTCACATTCTCACAGGTTCAACTGCCAGCAGAGAAATGCCAATAAGAAATAAAATCACATAAACATACCACGGTTGTAGCCTCATCAGCTTTTCCAATGATTATTACTAGCATATTTCCGACTAAAGGGGTTGGGATTTAAAGCTAGCTACTTTTAGCACAATTTCGCTAATGCAACAGAAGTATAATTTCTTCATTATCCCACAACCCTCCTGCCAAAAAAGTGAGATGAAAAGAGCAAAGTAGAATGGCAATTTTTTTTTTTTTTTTTTACTATCTCCAGTAATGGGTATAAGCAAAGAATGGCAATGTTTAAGAGATGTTTTAAAAATCTGTCAGACTCATCATTGTTTAAGAGATGTTTTAAAAATCTGTCAGACTCATCATTATCATCCAGTTTATCCATCTTACTATAGTAAGATTTTTCTCCTTATAAGGAGAAAAATATGTGATTAACATGACAAATCTTTGAACCAGTACACAAGCATGTCCCATAATTTTTTCCCTATTATAAAATCTTTTTAAAATGAAAATTAAATAACCTATCTTGGCTTGTTAAAGACTTCTAACCCTTGGATTGTACATAGGGAAGGCAAGAAGACTCTGAGATGTCACATGCCAAGAACATATTTTCAGAAAATGAAGATAGGCAAGGCCCAAGTGTACATGAGGCACACAATAGAAAAGGAATTTCACCATCTGCGATCTTTAAATTACAAATGGAGAATGAGAAAGAATGAGTCTATATAAGCATATGTCTCTCTATATATTTATAAATATTTATATAATTTATCATGAAAACATGCAAGTAGTGTTATAGCAACTATTATACAATATAATACAGAAGGATTGGTCTTCCAATATTACAGTTGCTTCAGATAAACTGCAAATATGTCTTATCTATTGCATCCCTCTGTAGTGTTTGAAACTGGAGAGAAATTAAGATTCCACACTATGCTACATTTCTTGTAAGAGACGTTATATGCCTCAATAGTGTTTTGAATTTGTTTTTTTAAAAAGCTCAACACAGATAAAGAGAACAAGAGAAGTTCAGTGCAGCTTCAGGGCAGCTTTGATGCAGCATTAGAAGATGTTCACTTGGGGAGGAAATTTATTTCTTTTTTGTTTGTTTGTTTCCCAATTCAACCGTTATCGGGTTTGGCAGCAAATACAAGGTCTAGATGTTTGCTAGAAGGCAAATTTCAACAGCAAGCAGACCAATTTACCTGACCTCTTACAACACAAAACACCTAGAGAGTATAAAAGAGCCCATTTAAAATGTCTGGTATACTTTCATTTTGCTGGATTCCTGTTATAAGAGTGGGATTAGAACAAGTATCTTCCTCTTTGCAGCTTCATAAATTGAGATTATATGAAAATCAGGCCAAGAAGCCCAAATACTGAACTAAAACACAGGAGAAGCAGGTAATAAAACATTAAAAGAGAAATATTTAGCCTAAATTTATTTCCCCAGATATTAATTCCTTATTGGCTAAATGTATAAAATACAAAGTTTGAGGATTCTAAGCCTCAGTAATACATCTAATTTATTTCTAAATCTCAAGTCACATTCCAAAGCATTGTGCTTCCCTAGTATCATCTTGGAGGCTGATATTAGAAAGAGCTGGAACTCAGAAGACTTAAGGAAGCAGTCTACTCTGGTCAGTTTTCCTTCTACTCAAGTTTCTAAAGGAGGACACTTAACAGGGAGGAAGGGGGTTCTTCTATCTTGAAGGCTATTCCCCTACATTTTCTTTTTCTCCCTAAACACTAAATCCTGCAAAGTAGCTCTAGAGTTTTCTTTCCTTTACCTAAGTTTCTTATTTTTCATAATAAAAATATAGTAGGTTAAGAACTGTTGCTCTAAAAAAAAAAAAAAAATCAGGGAACTAAAAAAAAGGTAATTGGATTTGAAAGTACAATTAGGACCATAAAATAAAAGCAGAGAGACGGAATCAAATAAGACATACTAAACTTAAAAAAAATCTGAAGTCCAGGGAGGGTACTAGAAATGAGGCAAAGTAAAAGTGTTCATTCTCAATACACAAAATAAACACACAAGCCAAATATATAGTACTGGCTCCCTGGCAACAGACTTCTTACATAATATAGTATTTGATGAATGACTCTCCAGGGTGGGAAAGTTTTGAATGAAAATATCAAACAAGAAGTTTCACTTTTGCTATTTAATCTTTTGAGTTGAGGCTTAAAAAAATTAGGCAAACTCCCTAAAATTCCATTCTGTCTCCTATCCTCAACTCTTTTGTTTCAAAGACAGCTTAAAAATGAGAGCTCATTTTAATGAGTTTCTCCCCCTTGGATTTTTGCTTTATTTTTCCTTGTATAAAGATCGATTCCTGATCTGCTTGCTGCCTGCCTCAGGTAATTCCTTATCATGTATTTATGTCTTCTTATAAATAATGAATCATGTTACTTTCTTTTGCAAGAGAAGATCAACACTGATTTTTTTAAACAGACAGTACAGGGACACACATGCGTCAGGGTTAGGAAGAAGGTCTCACACCTTTCAAAGAGATGCAGCCTGGCTCCTATCTGCTGAGTTTACTGGCTGGCTTACTCTTCACTGGGGGGGGTTTAGCGTTGGCTGAGTGGTGGTGGAGGCTGCCAGATCCTTTCAGGCCATTCTTGCTGGGTTTGCAATGCTCCTGTTGGCAGGACCTCCTGGAGGACGAAGATCCTGAGTGGCTGGGAGGTGACTTGCTTCTCCCCAGATGTGGGGATGAACTCCTCTGGTCATGGTGGGGCCGTCCAGCCCTAGATGGTGAGGAACTAGATGTGCGAGGCAAGGATGAGCTTCGAGGAGAGGCACTGGGACTCCTGCGAGGGACAACTGGACTCTTGGGTGGTGTTTTGGGGTTGTGAGGAGATCCTGGACTCTTGCACTGAGTAGTGCTCCGGGGTTTCTGAGATCCATTTTGAAGAATTTGGGCCAGGTGGGAGAAAAGGTCTGAGTCAGAGTTACTACTCCCTAGGACTTTATATCTGCGTAACCTTAAAAGAACAGAGAAAATGTATTTTAATTTTAATTCATTTTGAGTGTGCCTAAAAAGTCATAATGTCCCAAATCATAATGTGAATGATGTGTATAGAAATCAGAAAATAGACTAACAGGATAATGGGTTACTCTTTCATATGCTAGTTGTATGAGCCTGGAAAAATTCTTTAACCCCTCCCAGCTTTCAGTGGGAATACTGTCTATCTCACAGGGTCACTGACCAGACCAAGTGCAGTAACTCAAGTACTTAGAAGAGCATCTGCCATGAAGAAGCCCTTAAATGATATTAGTTCCCTTCCTCCTACGTCATGTTTACTCTGCTAATTTTCAGATGAATTTAAGTGTTTCTAGGATGTTAGCACATAAGACAGAGAGTAAACCATATTGTATAAGGATACTAGGACAGGGATCCTGCAAACACGAAATCCCACAATGTAAGTCTTTTTTTTTAATTTTCTTTTTTCTGCCAAGGACCCACAAGCCTTCAACATGAACTACACTCAGCAAGATTAGGAACTACAGATAAATGTATATTCTACTCATTTAATAATTTCCAAGAGAAAAGAGTAGTTACTGGTTTCTATGGACCACAGTTTCTATTCCTGTCAATGGCCTGGGATTAAGGGGAGTGGATGCAGGAACTGACTGCCCAACCCAACCCCCCATACCAGCAACTAAGCTTGGCCTCAGATTTTTTTTTTAAACAGGGTCTTGCTCTGTCACCCAGGCTGAAGTACCATGGCGTGATCACAGATCACTGCAGTCTAGACCTCCTGGGCTCATGCAATCCTCCCACCTCAGCCTCCTGAGTAGCTGGGACTACAGCTGTGCACCTATAGTGCACACACCTTGACAATTTTTGTATATTTGTCGAGACAATTTTGCCACATTGCCCAGGCTGGTCTCAAACTCCTGGGCTCCAGCAATCCTCCTACCTCAGCCTCCCAAAGTGCTGGGATTACAAGCATGAACCATAGTGCATGGCCCTTGGGCCTCAGAATTCTAAGAGTATTCATATGAATAGCAAATATCTTCTTTGTCCTAAATGTCTTTCCAGTTTGGCCTAAGAATCAAAGAAAATGGAACATTAAAAAGTGTTTTTATAGACTATAAAGCAATGGTCCCCAACCTTTTTAGCACCAGGGACCGGTTTTGTGGAAGACAATTTTTCCACGACAGGGAAAGGAGGGGCAAGGATGGTTTTGGGATGAAACTATCCCACCTCAGATCATCAGGCATTAGATTCTCATAAGGAGCATGCAACCCAGATCATCAGGCATTAGTTAGGTTCTCAAAAGGCGTAAGCAACTTAGATCCCGCCCATGTGCAGTTCACATTCCTATGGGAATCTGATCCCACTGCTGATCTGATAGGAGGCAGAGCTCAGGTGGTAATGCCTCCTGCTGTGGTGCCCTGGGGGTGGGGAGCAGGGAGCCTGCTATAAAACAGTCTACAATGTATTTTAGTGGCAATGCCAACTTATATAGTGAGAACGACCCTAGGGCAAAGGAACAGACAAATGAATAGAACGGAGCATTGAATCCAAAAAGATCCCCATGTTTCTACAGGAAATTTGTACTTAGATTCATTAACTACTTGGAAAAAAACTTCGCATCATATGTAATAATAAACTTTAGTCAGACAATAAATTTATACAGAAAGCACAAAACTATAAAGGCACTAGAAATTACTACCTCTAAAAAAAATATTAGGGTTGAAGTACCTTCCTATGTATGATATAAAACACAATTAATTAAAAATTCAGTTCCATGAACACTAAACAAAAGGCACTACAACCCAAGTTAAAATTCAGAATAGGATAAAATATCTTCCATATAATTTGCAGAGAAGGGAGTTAATTAGAGAAAGTAACCCAGGCTGGGTGCGGTGGCTCCCACCTGTAATCCCAGCACTTTGCGAGGCCGTGGCAGGTGGATCGCTTGAGGTCAGGGGTTCGAAATCAGCCTGGCCAACATGGCAAAACCGTGTCTCTACTAAAATACAAAAAGTTAGCTGGGCACTGTGGTGGGTGGCTGTAATCCCAGCTATTTGGGAGGCAGAGGCAGCAGAATTGCTTGAACTTGGGAGGCAGAGGTTGAAGTGAGCCAGGATCACACCACTGTATCACAGCCTGGATGACAAAGCAGGGCTCTGTCTCAAAAGGAAGAAAAAATAAAAAGTAACCCAATAGAATGTTTTGACATGAACACAGCCAACAACTCATAAAAGGATCCTCCTAACTCAGCCTCCTAATAGGGACTACAGCTGTGTACCACCTGTGCCAGGCTAATTCTTGTAGCAATGAGGTTTCACCATGGTGCCCAGGCTGGTCTCAGACTCCTGGGCTCAAGCAATCTGCCTGCCTCAGCCTCCCAAAGTGCTGGGATTAAAGGTGTGAGCCACCGCATCTGGCCCTGAAAAGCACTCTTCACTGGTTTACCACCTCCCAATATTTTCCCCTCTTCCTCAAAATATAAACATCCTGTGGTCAAATATATCAAGAGAATATTTAAATAAAAAGCATAGCATGTAGTAGATACTAAAGCAGTCTCTTTAGTATGTATGGTTGTATATAGTAAAGGCACAGGGAAATCTTCTATAGGATTTTTTTGGTTTAATTCATTATAATGAAGATAAACAGCATTGTTACCAGGGTCCATTTATCAAATCATGGACAATGTATTCTTCACTAGCATTTGACATCATAATGGCATTATGGGACATAATGGGATTCTGACTGAACAAAGCTAGAAAATTACTGATTATCCAAATGCAGTTGGAGACAGACATAATCTTTACTGCATGCTACGCAATGTACTAAGTCCTAGATGTATGTGGCTTTATTTCACCCTCCCAAAACTCTTAAGCAAGTATTTTACCCATTTCATAGATGAGGAAATGGAGGTTCTTACTGCTAGAAAGTAGGACAGCCAAAAATTAACATGGATCAGAGAAAATTCTGGGAAGACAGTAGAGTAGGAAACACCAGGAATCTGTTTCCCCACCTAGGCAACTGCACTGGCAGACTCTGATGTAATTATCTTCGAAATCTGGAGTCTACCAAAGGCTTGCAACTTCCAGGAAAAGGCTTGTACTGTCAATTACGTTAATTTTAGTCTGTTTCAGATCTTAGCACAGTAACAGCTACCCACTCCCCATTCTCATAAGGAGTGCGCAACCTAGATCCTGGGCGACTGAGGAAGACTCTGTTTTCGAAAAAAAAAAAAAAATCCCTGGAAACTACCCGAAAGTCATAAAAGACATGAATATACAACATCCCAGAAGCTCATCCCCAGCCCTGTGACAGGCAACTGTGCACTTACTTCTGGAACAGTTTGCACACAGTTTACAAGAACCAGGTGGGCAAAAAGAACCCTGTCCTCCAAATACTGGGGATCTGTGCTCCAATTACTCATTGCTGCCTCTTAGTACAGAAGGGCAGAGGAAGATGTGGGTAGTCAGTCTTAAACTTTTCCCCACTGTTAGAAACTGGTTCTCCTCTGGCTGAAGTGACTGCTAGGGGTTTAAAAGGGCCAGTGCTCTTTTTCTCCCTTCCATCATTTTTCTTTTTTCCCTTCTTGGGAGCCAGATATTAAAGACCTGTATATTCAAAAGCAACCACAGATACTGGGGAAATGAGAAAGCTACTATGCTTATTCGGGAAAAAGTACAGACTCAGAAAAGGTCCAAGACCTTAGGTTTATATCTCAGGCTGGTCCTCATCACAAAGACAGTCTACATCCATCAAAAAACAAACAAAAAAATTAGCAAGGTGTGCTGGCATGCACCTGTAGGTCCAGCTACTGGGGAGCCTGAGGCAGGAGGATCACCTGAGCCCAGGAGTTAGAGGCTGAAATGAGTCATGACTATGCCACTGTACTCCAACCTGGGTGACAATGAGACTGTCTCAAAACAAAAAGAGGCCAGGCGCCATGGCTCATGCCTGTAATCCTAGCACTTTGGGAGGCCGAGGCGGGCAGATCATGAGGTCAGAAGATTGAGCCCATCCTGGCTAACACAGTGAAACCATCTCTACTAAAAATACAAAAAAGTAGCTGGGTGTGGTGGCACACGCCTGTAGTCCCAGCTACTTGGGAGGCTGAGGCAGGAGAATCATTTGAACCTGGGAGGTAAGGGTTGCAGTGAGCCAAGATCGTGCCACTGCACTCCAGCCTAGATGACAGAGTGAGACTCTGTCCAAAAAACAAAAATTAATAACCCCCAGCAATTCCCAAGGAAAGGGGAAAATCTGATTTTCAGAGTTACTACATTATTAGATTCAAATATCCAATTTTTAATTAAAAAATCAAAAAGCATACAGAGAAACAGGAAGGTATGGTCCACTCAAAGGAAAAAAAAATAGATCAACAGAAACTATACCTGAAAAAGACCTGATGGCATATATCTACGAGACAAAGACTCTGAAACAACTATCTTAAAGATGCTTGAAGAACTAAAGACATAGAGAAAGTCAAGAACACAATGTATGAACAAAATGGAAATATCAATAAGAGCTAGAAAACCTAAAAAGAACCAAAAAAAAATTGGAACTGAAAAGTACAACCACAAAAATTAAAAATTCACTAGAGAGATTCAAAAGCAGATTTGGGCAAAATCAGCGAACTTGAAGACAGGACAATGGAAAGTATTGAGTCTGAGGTACAGAAAAAAAAAAAGAGTAAAGAAAAGTAAACAAAGAGTAAAGGGCCTGTGGGACCATCAAACAGACCAGCATGCACATTATGGGAGTTCCTGAAGGAGAAAAGAGAAAGAGGCAGAGAGAATATTAAAAATAAATAAATAAATAATGGTTGGCCAGGTGCAGTGACTCACGCCTGTAATCCCAGCACTGTAGGAGGCCTAGGCAGACAGATCATAAGGTCCCGAGAAAAGACAAAGAGAATCTTGAGATTCTTAAAAAAATTATCAGAACATTTCTCACCAGAAACACTGGAGGCTGAAAGTACATTAGTACTTTAAAGTACTCCTTTTAAAATACTAAAATAACTGTCAACTAAGAATCCTGTATCTGGCAAAACTGTCCTTCAGAAATGAGGGAAAAATTAAGATGTTCTCAGATAAAACCTAAAGGAGTTTGTAACCACCAGAACTGCCTTGCAAGAAATGCTAAAGGGAGTCCCGTAGGTTGAAAAGAAGGGACACCAGACAGGAACCTGAAGGCATATGAATAAAAATCTTAATAAAGGCAAATACATGGACAATTATAAAAGCTAGTATTCTTGTAAGAAATCTATAACTCTACTTTTTGTTTTCTGCATTATTTAAGAAACCAATACTTTCTTTTTCTAACACTGGTTTGTAACTTTACATTTTGTTTTTTATATTAAAAGATTAATGCATTTTAAAAAATTATTAGTTTATGTGTTTGAACACAATGTATAAAGATGTAATTTTGTAACATCAACAGGTGAAAGGAGTGGAGCTGGAGATTGAAAAGAGCAGAGCTATTGCATGATATTGAAGTTAAGCTGATATAAATCCAAATGAAAATGTTATAACTTAAGAATATTAAATGTAACACCCATGGCAACCACTTAAAAGAAAATAGCTGCAGAATATATACAAAAGGAAATGAGAATTTAAATGGTTTGCTACAAAAAGTCAGCTAAATACAAAAGAAGATAATAATGCAAGAAATGAAGGGCAAATAGCTGTAAGGCTTATAGAAAACAAATGGCAAAAGTAACTCCCTCGTCATTCGGCCTTAAAAAAGGAAATTCTGACACATGCTATAACACAGATGAACCTTGAAGATACTATGCTAAGTAAAATAAGCCAGTCATAAAAAGACAAATACTGTGTGACTGTACTTCATAGGAAGTATTTAGAGCAGTCAAAATCATAGAGACAGAAAGTAGATTAGTGGTCACCATAGTCTGGAAGGAAGAAGGAAATGGGGATTTATTGTTTAATGCAGTAGTCTCCAACATTTGGCACCTGGAACAGTTTCATGGAAGACAACTTTTCTGTAGACTAGGATGGGCAATGATTTTGGATGAAACTGTTCCACCTCAAGATCATCAGGCATCAGAGTCTCATAAGGAGCAGGTAACCCAGATCCCTCACATGCACAGTTCACAACAGGGTTCACACACCTATGAGAATCTAATGCCATGGCTGATCTGACAGCAGGCAGAAATGCTCACTCACTGGCCACTCATCTCCTGCTATGTGGCCTGGTTCCTAACAGGCCAGAAACTGTGGCCTGCAAGCTGGGGACCCCTGGTTTAACAGGTATAGAGTTTCAGTTTTATAAGCTATAAGATGTAAGAGTTTTGGAGAGAGCTGGTGGCAATGGTTGCATAACAATGTGAATGTACTTCATACCACTGAACTGTACACTTAAAAATGATTAAGGGGCCGAGCACAGTGGCTCACACCTATAATCCCTGCACTTTGGGAGGCCCAGGTGGGTGGATCACGAGGTCACAAGAGACTGAGACCATCCTGGTTAATATGGTGAAACACCATCTCTACTAAAAATACAAAAATTAGCTGGGCATGGTGGCGTACACCTGTAGTCCCAGCTACTTGGGAGGCTGAGGCAGAAGAATTGCTTGAACCCAGCAGGCAGAGACTGCGGTGAGCCAAGATGGGGCCATTGCACTCCAGCTTGGGTAACAAGAGCGAAACTCTGTCTCAAAAAAAAAAAATGATTAAGATACAGCCGGGCATGGTGGCTCAAGCCTGTAATCCCAGCACTTTGGGAAGCTGAGGCAGGTGGATCACTTGGGGCCAGGAGTTTGAGACCAGCCTGGCCAACATGGCAAAACCCCATCTCTACTAAAAACAAACAAACAAATATAAAAATTAGCCTGGTGTGGTGGCAGACGCCTGTAGTCCTAGCCACTCAGGTGGCTGAGGAACGAGAATCTCTTGAAGGCAAGAGGCAGAGGTTGCAGTGGACTGATATGGAGCCACTGCACTCCAGCTTGTACGAGAGTGAGACTGTGTCTCAAAATAAAAAAACAAACAAACAAAAAATTTTAAGATGCTAAATTTCATGTTATGTGTATTTTACCACAATAAACTGGAAGAAAAAAAAAGAATTAACCTGGATCGATCTTATTACTTCCACTGCACTAGGCTGTAAAGGCCTGGGAAAGGAAGGAAAGAAAGATACCAAGAAGCAGGCAACACAGAAATGATACCATTGATGGAGTACATAAAGCAGATATAGAAATGGTGTTACACTTAACACAGGGAGAGCACACAGCATTACCTGGCTTCTACTCCAGGCCTCGTGGGTGGCTTTCCTGGGGGTGGCCGAGGAAAGAACGGAGATGAAGTTGAGCTATTGACTTGATCTGTGTTGACCCATGATACTGGCCTTGGAATTTTGCTCTTTCTAGACTGGGAGATGATGGGTGACAGAAAGCTATCTTCAGCTGACCTGCTCATGTGAGAATCTACTGTCAGTCTTGAAAAGGGAGTGAGGACTTCCTCCTCACAAAAGGAAGCAGGAACAGTAGCTAGTTTCTCTTCTAGTAATTTATCAGAGGCACTTGAGAGGTCGCCAAGGAAGGACTTGAATTGTCTTTTTTCCACCAGAAGCTTGACTAGGTCTGGCTGATAAGCTTTCTTTTGGAGGAGCTTTTCTTTTGCAGAGACTGGAAAGGATAATTCCAAAGTTGAGTCAATCTCTTGTGCTAAAACAGGGATTCGGCTGTGTCTAGTTACAAAGGATGACCTAACCATATCCTTCCGGGTTGGGGCACCATGTTCATTCTCTGAGACACAATGAAACAGTTCTCCATTTCTAGGGGCAATTTTCTCTCTCTTACCCTCTTGGTGCAAAAAAGTAGAGAGGTCCCCTTGATGACCCGGCAAGTCTTCACTCATGATGTCATCATCCTTAGATATCTTACTTTTTTGCATTTCTGCCACCTGGCCTATCTGACCTTCAACATGTGGGTCAATGTCTCTGGGAGACATTTCTGAAGTTCCAACTGTCAGAAGCTTCATTACCTCCTTATTTTTGTCTTGATTTGGCACCACACTAAAAGTCTGTGTTTTTGTCACATCAAGAGGTTCAGTAGTAGCTGAGTGATCCTTTTCCACCATTAACAAATCTGGGAGAGAGGAGAGCTCAACACAATGCTGCCCTCTACTTAACTTCTCATCTTCTTTATCTGACTCTAAAAGGATGCTTTTCTCTTCACTTTCCCCAGGGAGATTTTCAAATTCTCCCACAACCAGTCTGTTATGATCAGGAAGTTCTTTTGGTCCCAGATCTTGAGATTGGTTACTTTCTCTAAAGTTGGGTAACATGTCATGACCAATGTGATCTAACTGAAGCCCCAAATCTGTTCTGCTTCCTCCACTAGGAGGTTCACCCTCTGTCACAACCAAGCCAGAGAAGTTTTCCCTTGGAGAGTAAAGTTCCACAGTGGGCTCCATGGGCTGAAGATCTTTCTTCTCTGGCTGCTGACCATAGTGAAAGCTTCCTGAAGTTGACTGCGTAGATGCCACAGAAGGTCTAGGAATTGTAATCTGGAGAAAGGGGAGAAAAAATTAAAATGTAATTATGTAAAATATCAATAAAGATATTGAGGTTTAACATCTCAAATTCTAATTTATAGGAAGAACACAGATGTTGACCAGGTCTGCCCAACTTACATGAAAAATGGAACAATTCTGAATAACAATGAATGACACCCAAGCTACCCTACTCAGAAACTGTGCAGAACAGTCTCTCCCTGTAGGTTAATCCCTGCCCCTTCTTTGGTGCGCTTTAGGCCCTGGAAGACTAATTTCTAAAGACTGCACCATCTGTGCTTCCTTGCTTTCTGATTTGTGGTTAGATCTGCTCAATGGATGGTACCAACAGAGAATCAGAGGGTTACAGGAAAGAGAAGGCTGGGTAATGATTTTCCTTGCTTCCCCACTGAGGACTGTGGTGTTGGTGATGGCTACATTCCACTATCCTGGCCACAGCTCCCTTCTTGTGGCCTCTCTCTCAGCTACCACTCTTGCCAGGTTCTGCTAACACCTACTTCTACTCCCCTTTCAGGACTCATGGTAGGAATAGCTCTCTCTGTTGCTGGTCCCATTGGCTCTCTTAACTCTGCTCATACATCTGTAAAAAATTCCTTACATTAAATTATCTCCAAGTCCTTTTGAGTATGCCATCTATTTCCTGCCAGAAGCCAGATATAGGATTATAGGAAAAAACTTATTGGCAAATAATTGTTCATTGAAAAACTCCAAATTTTCATGCATTTTGTTGTTTTCCATAAATTCTATTAAATACTAGATTATGTCTTCCTGTAAGTAAAGACATACAAAAGTATTTACAAATATTTCGTGATTTCTCAATTTTTCTTTTTCTTTTTTTGAGACAGGGTCACTCTGTCACCCAAGCTGGAGTGTAGTGGTACAATCTTGGTTTACTGCACCCTCTGCTTTCCAACCTCAAGTAATCCTCCCACCTTAGCCTCCTGAATAACTGGGACTACAGACATGCATCATCACACCTGGCTAATTTTTTTTGGAGAGATGGGGTTTCACCATGTTGACCAGGCTAGTTTCAAACTCCTGAGCTCAAGTGATCCATCTGCCTCAGTCTCCCAAAGTGCTGGATTACAAGTGTAAGTCACCACACCTGGCCAATTTGTGTGCGCATGTGTGTGTGCGTGCGCGTGCGTGTGTGTGTGTGTGTGTGTGTGTGTGTGAGAGAGAGAGAGAGAGAGAGAGAGAGAGAGAGAGATGGAGTCTCACTCTGTTGCCCAGGCTAGAGTGCAATGGCATGATCTCAGCTCACTTCAACCTCTGCCTCCTGGGTTCAAGCAATTCTCCCTGCCTCAGCCTCCCACGTAGCTGGGATTACAGGTGACCACCACCATGCCCAGCTAATTTTTGTATATTTAGTAGAGATGGGATTTCACCATGTTGGTCAGGCTGGTCTTGAAGTCCTGACCTCAGGTGATCCACCCGCCTCAGCTTCCCAAAGTGCTGGGATTACAGGCATGAGCCACCACTGTGCCCGGCCCACACCTGGCCAATTTTTAAAGGTCAAGCCTATGAGAAGTGAAAATCTACTCCCCTTTCACTGAAGTAGTTTTAATTCTATATGAAATAAGATTCATTAGCTAATAAGAATGTCCTTCCTTAAGATACCTAAAGTTTTTATATTTTCATATCACCTAAAGTGACATGTAAATAGGCTGAAAATAACTATATAAACAGGTAAAGAAAAAAGTCTTTTTGAGAAAACAAGTAAGTTCAAATCACTTAATGAAACCCATTAAGTTCTAGGAAAACTATAGAAATTGATCTGAATACAATGCAGAATGAATTTGGAGTAGTCATGGGAGATTTAGTTTAGATTCAGTCTCTAGTCCAAAGACACCAAGAAACCATGTGGTTCCAGGGTCAGCTAAGATGTATAGATCTATTTCACTCTGGGTCAGGAATACTATTAGTTGCACATGAATATGTAAAACTCATGGATATGTAAAGTTTGTCCTAAGGCCAGCCCAGGAAAAAAACACCTAATTAATGTCCTGGAATAGTTCCTAAAAGGAAGCAGGGTCCTGAGGATCTTTCAGGCTAATCCAAGACAGGCTATTTGGGCTTAGATCTAAACTCTTAGAATAAACGCAAATCTAAAATGATCTTGGGAAAAAGCATTAGGTTCTCTTGGTGCTGTTTTCCTTCAGGAAGTTATCTCATACTTCTGTTTTATTTTAATTATTCTAAAATATATTTAGGCAGACGGCAATTTTCTAGTATGTTTTTTAAGTGACGTTGAAATCTAAAATTTATAGTAATTCACTTTTCAAAATTTACTTCTTAGTAAATGGACCCGAAAGTGACCATAATAAGAAAAGCAAGTGTGAAATTATATTAAATGTCAAATAACAAGGGAGATGATAACCTATAATCAAAATTGGGCTGGGTATGGTGGCTTCATACCTATAATCCCAGCACTGTGGGAGGCCAAGACAGGCAGATCACCTGAGGTCAGGAGTTCGAGACCAGCCTGGCCAACATGGTGAAACCCCATCTCTACTAAAAATACAAAAAATTAGCCAGGTGTGGTGGTCGGCACTTGTAATCCCAGCTTTTTGGGAGACTGAGGTGGGAAAACTGCTTGATCCCAGGAGGCGGAGGATGCAGTGAGCTGAGATTATGCCACTGCCCTTCAGCCTGGGTGACAGAGCCAGACTCTGTCTCCAAAACAAACAAATAAACAAAACCCAAAAACCCAGTCACCTCATTATTATATGTAATTTTAAGTACATCAGCCAAAATGAACATAGCAGTGCTATAAAAATAATACCCCGGGCCAGGAGTTCCAGACCAGCCTAGCCAACACAGTAAAAACGCATCTCTACTAAAAATACGAAAATTGGACTGGGCATGGTGGCTCACGCCTATAATCCCAGCACTTTGGGAGGCCCAGGCGGGTGGATCACGAGGTCAAGAAATTGAGACCATCCTGGCCAACATGGTGAAACCCCATCTCTGCCAAAAATACAAAAATTAGCTGGGGGTAGTGGCATGCATCTGTAGTCCCAGCTACTTGGGAGGCTAAGGCAGATGAATCACCTGAACCTAGGAAGCGGAGGCTGCAGTGAGCAGAGATCATGCCACTGCACTCCAGCCTGGTGATAGACCAGTGCTACTTCTTAAAACAAAACAAAACAAACAAACAAATCCAGGCCAGGCACAATGGCTCAGGCCTGTAATTCCAGCACTTTGGGAGGCCAAGGTGGGTGGATCACTTGAGGTTGGGAGTTCAAGACCAGCCTGAACAACATGGAAAAACCTTATCTCTACTAAAAATACAACATTAGCCAGGAATGGTGGCACATGCCTGTAATCCCAGCTCCTGGGAGGCTGAGACAGGAGAATCCTGGAGGCAGAGGTTAAAGTAAGCCTAGATCGCCTCATTGCACTCCAGCCTGGGAAACAAGAGCGAAACTCTGTCTCAAAAAAAAAAAAAAGAAACACGCCAAAAATTAGCTGGACAGGTTGGTGGGCACCTGTAATCCCAGCTACTTGGGAGGCAGAGGTTGCAGTAAGCCGAGATCAGGCCACTGCACTACAGCTTGGGCAAGAGAGCAACATTCTTTCTCAAAAAAAACAAAAAACTCCATTGGTCTTCTGAGATTGAAGCTAGGGTTAATTTCTACAATTCTGAGATTAACTCATTTTAGATTCAAGATATAAATGTGTATGTATATGTAGTATAAAAAAAAGAATGACAATTTTATACATAGAAAATATATATGAGCCAAGCATGGTGGCCTGTGTCTATAATTCCAGCTACTCAAGAGCCTGAGGCAGGAAGATTGCTTGAGCCCAGGAGTTTTAGACCAGCCTGGGCAACATAGCAAGACCCTGCCTCAAAAAAAAAAAAACAAACCCAACAACAATAATAAACATATATATGAATCACCAGACAGGAGAATTTTTCTTAAAAAGATTCTGAGCAATTACGATGAACTGTGCATAAACTACTCTAACATAATATTTCCATAGGACTTTAAATTTCATAAGATATTCTTCAAATCATTTTATACAAACCTCATTTCATAGCTTCTTTATATTTTAATAGGGTACTATTATCATTTTATTATTATTATTATTATTTTAGAGACAGAGTCTTGCTGTCACCCTGGCTAGAGTGCAGTGGTGCAATTGCAGCTCACTGCAGCCTGCAACTCCTGGGCTCAAGCAATCCATCCGCCTCAGTTTCCCAAGCAGCTGAGACTACTTGGAACGCAGCACCATATCCAGCTAATTTAAAACAATTTTTTTACAGATAGGGTCTCACTATGTTGCCCAGGCTGGTCTTGAATTCCTGCACTTAAGACATGCTCCTGACTTAAGGCTTCCAAAGTGCTGGGATTACAGGTATGAGCCACTGTGCCTATTCAGAATACTATTACTAACACAGATTCACAAATGAAGAAAAACAAAGCCAAGAAGTTACAGATAGGACTTCAGGATTTTGAAAGTTGGCACAATACAGTACAGCCTACTGACAAGCACTACACACTCAAATAAAGTCTAGGAAACTAAGTCTGCAATAACATCTGACAAAATAAAAGGAGAAAACCAAGGATCAACAGTTGAGTATGGAGAAGAGAAAGCTAATTCCAAGTGTAGCTGCAAATGGCTTCTTTAAACTATGAAGACATAAAAGCAGTTCTCATACTTGGAACACTCTACAAATGAACCAAATAAATAATCTGCCAGTAAGCCATATGCATCTTTTATATCTTTAATTTCCATAATTTACAAACATTTCATTCTAGCATTAATTCAATCATTTCCTTTCTTCTGTTCTATAATTGTATTATGTACATCTTTCTAAAGAATTAGAAAAGGATCTCAATATTTTCCATTTCTTTCATAGTTTCTTAGTTCTATTAATGCCTAGTACTAAGTTTGACTAAAATTAGTGTCAGAGTTAATAGTTCAGGTAAAGCAACCTCACTATTTTCAGTCACCCCATGTTTCAAACTAGCCACTAGTGAGAA